CCTCCTTTTCTGCGGTTGCTTTGGATCCACCCCTCTGACAAATGCCCCCATAGCAAGCCACTTGCTATGGGGGCACTCATGCAGGCTTGCTCCCAAGTCCATTGACACACAGAGTATGGCTCAGCCGTGTCCCCACTCCCTCCTCACTGGTTGTGACTGACAGCAGCAGGAGCCAATGGCTCCAGCTGCTGCCTCTGAGCCATTGAGGAGTGAGAGCACAGTGCTGGATAAACATTGGGCTCAGGTAAGTATAAAGGGGGGCAGTGGGGAACCTATAAGTAGACTGGTTTTACTTTAATGCATAGAATGTATTAAGGTTAAAAACCTTCTGCCTTTAGAACCATTGTAACTATAGATGTTTTTGTCAGAGCTTGAAAATATTTTTACTTCCCTCACTATCTGTGTCTTATTTTTTATTGCCCCCGATTTCATTCACAAAATATTATGATTATTTTTGAGCCCACATGTGCAAGATTCCTATATTTGTGGCTATCTTTGCTCGATTTTCTGACTCTTATTTTGCTATAATTTGGAGACTGTCTTTAATCTTTCTTCTCTCAATATATGGTATTTCTCATAATTCATTGCAGTTGCAAATTAGAGCGAAGAGCACATTAAAGTTTAACATGAGGCAAAACTTTTTTCAAATTTTTGGATAGAATGTAGAGGGATCGGAACATTTGTTAGGTTTTTATTGTTGTCTGTGTCCTTGTTAGAGAGATTTACCCACTCCATTCATTCTGTTTACCATTGTCACTGAAATTAAAAGAAAATCCCAAATTGTGGGTTGTCCCCAAAGAGAAATAGTGAGGATATCTTCAAATGGGGACATCAGTTTTGGTGACCCTGGTGATAACCAGGGTTTTTCTTACTTTAGAGGGATTTTCTCTCAATTCCTGTTTTGGCTATGGGACAGGAAGTGAAGGGAAATCTCCCCAATGGGAGAAAGATGGCAAAAATGAGCCTTACAGGGGGTCATAAACTTCCCTTACTCTATCCAAAATGATAAAAAAAAAGTTTTGCCTTTAGTTCTACTTTAATAGTGTAAAAAAAATCAAAATAAGCTATACAGTCACTGCACATTCATTCATATGCAGATTTAACCTTAAGCTACAGTATTTATCTCTGTTAATAACTAGCATGAAGAGATAAGTCATGTTGATGATGACAGACATTAGCACACCAATGACTTTTTCACAGGTTTGCAATTGCTAAAAAAAAATTGAAATTGTATTATATTTACTTGAGCATCTGATTCTTTCTCATTGATCAGAATTACTGTATTTTTATTTATCTATTTTTTGCACATTTTTCCTACAATTTTTTTACACTTTTTTATTCAAGGGTGTCTGGATTTGATCAATAAAGACCATGTCCAGGCTCCCCATGCAGGTGTGCAGCAGCAGATGTCTTCAAATAATGATTTATCAATAGATCACTATAACAGAGAATAAGCTGGACAGAGCTTAAACAGTTCTGCTCAAGCCTCCATACTGACAAGAAGTGCAGTGACCTTCTGATGAAGTCTTATTGTGTGTTTTTTTGCTCTCTTTCATTAATGGCTTACCACTGGGAGTGTTGTGAGATCAACCCTTTATGAATATGTTTGTTACTACATTTGAACCTAGTTGTGAAAGTTGTTATCCCTTTATGCATCAAGCAATATTACACCTCCTAACTTCTATGCCTAAGGTAAGCAGTTTTATATTGCAAGGTGGAGTGGTATGCAGAAGCCAGAAGATATTGTCATTGGTTGAAGACTATGGCCTGCTTGACATATCCTATGCTGACCTGACCACATACCCAAAATCGCAATGTGCTGGACACCTCACCTAGAAGAAAGTGGAAACAAGGAAGACTACTAACTGCCTGGTGGTATACCTTTAATACAGATTTGAAAGCCATCAAGGACTCATTGGATGAAGTTGAATCAGCTTTAGCTGACAAAATTAAATGGAAAGCAATTGACCTAGGATATTAACTCAGTCTAAATAAGTTTAACCAACTCCTGCCAAGTCACTGTATAGAAACAGCCAAATGGGAACTTCCTCAATTCTGGAGGAGTCACCTGTACATCTTACCATTCCCGTGCCTCATGCACACCCTCTAGGACATGCTGTGGTGCACTCCGATATGCGACATATTAAGTCATTTACAGGTTGAACAAAAGTTCTACGTTAGTATAATATCTTTGGTAATTAAATTGTACAGTTTAAAAAAGAGGTTGTCACGCTTCCATGCATATTGATCTGCGCCGGGTTTTGCCTCCTATCCGAGTTGTTCGGGTACCTGCCTATTCACCCTGGACCTAGGTATTTTTAAGTCTTTGCACCAGTCTGTTAGTGTCTTTATGTGGAAGCTGGACCCCTCTGGTTCCTGTGGTGTCCGCCGCCAATTGAGTATTCTCATATTCTGTGTGTTGTTTGATCCAGTCTTTGTTCTCAGTGTTTTCCCTCGAGCTGTACAGTTATATTCCCTTCACTTCCTGTTGCTGTGTGTGTGTCCTTCTCAGCACTGTTTCTTGTTGTTGTTTGCCCTGCAGCCCTTTTCAGCTTGCTGGGTCTCTCTCTCTGCACCATTGCTTAGCATCTCCCACCCTCCTGTGCTTTACGCTTGTTCCCTGCATCCTAACCCCTGGCATCCTGTCTTAGCTTTCTGCAATAGGTTACCTTGGTTCCTAGTATCCTGTGCGTACCTTGTGTCCTTCTAGCATGCTGTTTGGTTGCACTGTGCCCAATGGGTGTGTTAGAGAGCTACAACCTGGAGGCTGCCTCACAGCACAATATCCACACCTCCAATGGCTCTCTTGAAGACCTCGTGACTCCTTAGATCCTGAGACTCTGACATACCTCAGTTTGTGTGTGGTCACACTTACCCTGTATCTGTGAGGACCGGAACCCAGGTACACCTGTTTGATTGTTTCCACTGGCCCACTAGATCTTGAGTTTACAGTCCCAGGTGGTATTATCCTTTGATCATAACAAGGGTCCATGCATTAGGTTGAAACAGGGACACTTGAGAAGGAAAGAGGGACAAATGGGTTTGGTTCCAAAAGAGGGGCTGTTGCTCAAAATAAGGGACATTGAAGAGCTGTGACTATTTTTATTTGTCAAATATTGTGCTTTTGTGATGTCCTCTTTTCAGATAGGAATGATGACAATATGCAGCTGTTTCCTTTGTCCCTTTCCCACCTTTGGGTACAGGGGTGTACAAACACATGTCCATGAAAATTTGACTGTACCATGGCATTACAAAAGTAGATTACGGTTGCTCCTCTCAAGATCAACCCAGACTGGGTGGGTGTCCTGTTATTTACAAGTACTGCCAGAATTATTTGAGCAGAACAGTGGATACATGGTTAGCATGTCCACCTTGCAGTAACTAGGGTCATTGGTTCGAATCCCAACCATGGTACCACCTTCCTGGAGTTTGTATGTTCTCCCTGTGCCCGTGTGGGTTTCCTCCGGGTACTCCAGTTTGCTCGCACACTCCAAAAGACATGCTGGTAGGTTAATTGGATCTAAACTGGCCCTAGTATGTGTATGAATGTAAGTTAGGGACTTTAGATTGTATGCCCCTTGAGGGTTAGAGACTGATGTGAATGTACATATATATATATATATATATATATATATATATATATATATATATGTCAAGCACTGCATAAATTGACAGTGCTATGTAAGTATATATAAAATATACAGGTGAGCGCTAGTAAAAATATTAAAGCAGCTAGCACTCAAGGTATAGGTAACAATCCCCACAAGCATATGTATAAAGAAGTGCAGCGCTGCACTTTTTTATACAAGTACTATGTAAGTATCTGTAATAAATAAATAAATAAAAATATTTGTGTCGTTGTTATTATTTGTATTAGTAGTAGTATCTTGTTGTTTATATGTTATGAGAATGAACAGCTTTAAACCTTGGGATGTGTGGGTTTATTATTTTTTATAAACTATTTTATTCATATCGCTTATATTCAATGTGGTGTAATTTAAAAATATGTATTTCTTACCATTTCTTAGCATTTAAAATATGTATAATGTTAAAATAGGCATTATGCTATTGTGTTCTTTTAAAGGTTGTTATGACGTACCGTCTGTTAATTTTCTTTAGTGGTATTCATGCAATTTAGAAAATGTCTAGTGTGTCTTTTTACCAGCAGCTAAAGCTGAATTCATGGTATTTTTTTTAGCTGTAAGTAAATAGGTTTTTTGCAATGCATTTTAAGACTACTGAATTTGAAATGATTGAGGAATCCTTTTAAAATTTCCTTTATTATCTACTCTAAAAAAGTCTAGTTTTTCAACCAGAGAAAATCTTTATTCAAAATATTAAAAATGCTGTTCTGGGAATCTCTATGCAGTAATACAGTTGTATTTCAATCTCACACGCAGGGCTCGGATGCACAGTACCTTGGGTGCACATAGCCCCTAAAGTGGATAAACTTTAATCCCACTTTAGAATTGTAAACCCACTAGAGTTTGAAATAGCACACAGCAGGACAAATAGATTTGCTAGTGATGAGAGGTCACTGCCGGCTGCTGGTAGGTATTATAGAAATAAAACAGGCTAGGGCAGGAGAAAGAACAAAAAATGCAAAATTCAACCTCTGTCTTAGCCAAGGAGAACCAATGTAGTAGGAGTCAGGGGAGCGGAGTTCAATGCCACAAGCAGATACCAAGCACAAAGTCATATGCAGATACCAAGTTAATAACAAGTTGTCACCAAAATATATTTTAACCATTTCAGGTCTGGACACTTTCACCCCATTTCAGTCCAGGCCAATTTTCAGCTTTCAATGCTGTCACACTTTGAGTGGCAATTACTCTGTCATGCAACACTGTAATCATATGATATGTTTAGCATTTTTTGAGACAGATAGAGCTTTCTTTTGGTGGTATTTAATCACCATGTTTTTTTTTTCTATTTTGTGCTATATAAATGAAAAAATGTGAATATGTTGAAGAAAAATGTTTTAGGTTATTTTTTTGTTATTGTATGGCATATGGGGTGATCAGAATACTGGTATGGGGTATGGCAGTGATAAGGATGCTGATATTGGGTATGGCAGTGATAAGGATACTGATATGGGGTATGGCAGTGATAAGGATGCTGGTATGGGGTATGGGGTGATCAGAATGCGAGTATGGGGTATGGCGAGGATCAGGACCCTGATGTGGGGTATGACAGTGATCAGGATGCTGGTATGGGGTATGGTAGTGATCAGAGCACTTGTATGGTGTATGACAGTGTTTAGGTATCTGGAATGGCATATGATGATGATCATTGCAGTTGTATGGTGTATGGCAGTGATCAAGGTGCTTGGTATGGCATATGGTGGTGATCATGGCATTAGTATAGTGTATGGCAGTGATCAGGATGCTGGTATGGCAGTGATCAGGACATTGGTATGGTAAAATGCAGTGTTATTGTGAGCACTGGGACAGGTGACAGGGACTGGCTGCATTGTTTATTATGACTACACTGGGGCAGTGAGCAGGGACACTGGGGTGGCTGTCACTGCAGTCTGAGTGTACATGCAGCCTGGCAGGCTGATGTACACTCGCAGGCTCCAGCAATGGTTCGCTATGCTCTCACAGTGTGACCAGAGAGAACTGATGATTGCTGTCACTTTCCATTGTTTACTATGTTATTGTTGTGATTGGACACAGAAATCACATGGTAAAACACTGTGATCACCAGGGCACAGCAGTAATATGATTATCTGTGTCCAGGTAAACCATGAATCACAAGGCTCCCAGGAGTGCGAATTGTGAGCCACACAGGAGTCACCGACATACAGGTACTTTAGAATCCATTGGCACTGCTTCCTGTCTGCCATTTATAGGCTATGGGTGGATGGGAAGCTATTAAAAGCAAATACACAGTCTTAATAGATTCAGTTTCAGGTACTTTTTACACAGATGATCTAAAGGCACAGCCACATGGCAGAACAGATGCAAGGGGAGCAGCACGGGAGATGCTGAAGTTGGATTACCTTCCTTCCTCCCTTGCAATATTAACATCAGTATGTACCCTAACATGTATAAAATGAAGAAATAATATAATTAGTGAAGTTCTCCTTATTGATGAATCACATTACTGTTTGGAAGAGCCCTAGGAAATCACTGATCTAGCCTGCTACAAATGCCTGAACATAAAAGCCACACAATACTACTTTAAAATTGGGATATACACTATAATCATTTACCACTTATTGCTACTAGTAAAAGCAATCAAGTATATGTGAGTGGAATTTCTTACAGACGAAACTCAGTTTAACCTGTGAAAAGTAATGTTCTGTATTTTTAATGGAGGGCATATTTGTTGGCAAGTTACCATCAACCAAAATGAATCATGATTCTTTTTGATATGTCCGATTCTATTTCAACAACAACCCATTTGATAAATTCTCAAAATGCAGTGCAGTATCAATGTTCTTGTCATCATTTTCAATGTTGCCCAAATACAGAAGAAAGAGCAACAATCAGTAGGTAGTATAAACTTTAGTATGTCTAGACTTTGCACGAGAATTGTAATAGCCATCAGCTGTAGGGATGGGCTTATTGTTTGCTTTTACTTTTCTGTTATTATGACAATGTACTGTATATCTTTTGTAGTGAAACTGTTTATTTTGGCTGATTGTTGCGATGGATCAGTTTGTCAGGGAATCTGGTGGAGGTGGTGCCCAAGCGTGTCGTGTGATGTCAATGATGTGCAAGGGAACCAAGTAGAGTGACCAGAGCCTCGTGTGCGGGTCTGTGGGACTGAAGCAAGGCAAGCCAGGAGTGGGACTGTCTGTGCTGTTTGGACTGAAGTGGATTAAAGGTACCACTTGCCGTGGAGAGAGACTGTCACTGGGACTCAGGAGAGGACATGTCATGTTGATGAAGTGTCATCATCATCATCTGTGGTGCTGCTGTCAGTGTCACTGTGAGAGTCAGTTTCATGTGTGTGCCTGCCCATTCTAATTTGTTGCCCTCCGGAGTCCTGTCCCTGAGCTACTTACTTACTATATTGAAAATAAAATAAGAAATCTGTTTTTTGCCTTAATATCTATCTTAAATCACATTGCTAATTGCATATTGTACTTGTTTGTAGTCTAAATACTGCAATTTGCACTTAAAACTGTAATTTTTGTAAGTTTTGTTAATGCCAGTAAAAACTTGGCTGTGCCAGTAAATTTTGTATGTTGTGCCAGTGAATTTCAATCTGGGAGGTTGGCAACACTGTTATGGACTAATGTTGCTTTACTTTATCCATCTCAGATATGGACCACACTTTGCTTTTTATATGCATTTTTGCTATGATGAAACCACTAGGGACAGTGTTATGTTACAACAGCACAGCCAATTCCACCTTTGCCAAACCTCATAGCCAATTGTATGCAACTAATTGCACATGTATGTGAAAGATGTTATGAAAAAAGGGTGCACATGCTCTCAGCTCAGCCGAACAGACATGCCACGCTAGAGCTCTGCACCGCTTCAGGGATAAACAAGGCACAATAACAATCTGCTCATCCGAAAACAGCAGCTTTCCAGCTGCCCCACTTGCGGGGACATTTCAAGAAAAATTTTTTTTTTAAAAAAAAACCCCATATAATTTTTACCTTTCTGTTATAAAAAAATATCTAATAAACTCAAATTTAGTCATATGTTTAGGCCAAAATGTATTCTGCTACATATCTTTGGTAAAAAACAAAATCCCAATATGTTGGTATATATATTGGAATTTACGCAGCTTTTACTTTCTGACTGCCTATCACATATCTTGAAATGCAATGCCAGGACAGTATAAAAAATCCAAAATGACCAATTTTTTGGAAGTAGATACCCCAATGAAATTTTCTGAGAGGTATGTTGAGTCCATGAAGATTTAATTTTTTTGCCACACATTTTTTGAAACTGACAATTTTTTTTTTTTACACAAAGTTGTCACGTAAATGATATATTGTTCACACATGTCATTGGTATAGATGGCATTACATCTCACAATACATTCTGCTACTTTTCCTGTGTAAGAGGATACCACATGTATGAGACTTTTTGGGAGCCTGGCTGCGTACAGCGCCCAAAAAGCAATGACCACATCAGGCTTTGAAAGGGTGTCATTTCCTCATTTCACTTCCTCAGTACCTATCACAGTTTCAGTACAGGCATGTTAAGTGTGTGGAAGATTATATTTTTTGCCACAAGTTTTTGAAATATGCCAATTGTTTTTTTTTTTTTTACATAAAGTTTTCACTTAAATGTCTCTCACATGTGGTATCCCCATATTTGGGAGAAGAAGTAGCAGAATGTGTTTCGGGGTGTAATTCCACATATACCCATGGCATGTGTGAGCAATATATCACTAAAATGACAACTTTGTGTTCATTTTTTTTTTTTCATTTTCCAGAAACTTGTGGCAAAAAATAAAATCATCCATATACTCAACATGCCTCTCAGCAAATACCTTGGGGTATCTACTTTCCAAAAAGGGGGTTTATTTTGCGGGTGTTTGAACTGTCCTGGCATTTTATGCCCAAGATTAAAAGCTTATGCCACACACATCACCCACTCTTCTAACCACTTAAAGATAGTGTTTTTTCTGACCCTTTTTTAAACATGAAAAATCAGTATTTTGTGCTAGCAAATTACTTTAAACCCCAACATTATATTTTTTAACCACTTCAATATTGGGCACTTTTACCCCTTCCTGCTCAGGCCAATTTTCAGGTTTCAGCGCTCTCACACTTTGAATGACAATTACGCGATCATGCAACACTGTACGCAAACTAAAATTTTATCATTTTGTTCACTAGAGCTTTCTTTTGGTGGTATTTATTTACCACTGGGGTTTTTATTTTTTGCTAAATTAACAAAGAAGAACTGAAAATTTTGAAAAAAAAAAAAAACACATTTTTCTTTGTTTTTGTTATAAAAGTTTTCAAATAATTGTTCTTCATACATTTAGGCCAAGATGTATTCTGCTACATTTCTTTGGTGAACATAACCCAAATCAGTATTTATTATTTAGTCTGTAGGAAAGTTATAGAGCTCAAAAACTGTGGGATATATCTGAAAATTGACCAGTTCTGAAGTACTGACAGCCAATCTAATTTCTTGAGGCCCAAAAATGTCAGAACAGTACAGATATCCCCTAAAATTACCCCTTTTTTTAAAGTAGACATAAGTGGCATGGCAAGTTTTTTGAAGTTGTAATTTTTTTGTCATAATTTTTCAGAAAATGAAGAAATTAAAAAATAAAGAGTCACAATTTTGTTTTTACATACTATCACCAGTGCAGTACAACATCATCATATAACTGGTGTGGCGATGATCAGGGACACTGACTGGTGACAGTATGGAAAAAAAAATATATATATATTTTTTGTTATTTTTTTAAGATTTTTTTTTCATATTACACTATGACCAAAGTAGTATAATATTACCATAGTAACATTGTACTACTTTGGGGAAGTGATCAGTATTTTTTTTTTTTTACACAATTTGACTGATTATACCAAAGAATTTTTTTGCTATAAGCAAGCATTTAACTGAATTAAATAGATTCATTCAGGCTTTTTTTGTTGTGATTAGCTGTGATTGGCCACGGCTAATCACATGACACAGATGGGCTGTGATTGGCTCAGCCTGTGCATTTGATCGCTGTGACCATTCACAGCTAGACACACTTGTATACAATGGATGGCACGAAAGGAAGCCATCCACTGTATACAACTGTCATGTGACCTGCTGTGATTGGTCACAGCAGGTCTCATGTTACTGGCAACGAGGCCAGTACACAGATCTGTCATCGGCCTTGTCCGAGTAACATGGCCGGTGACAGATCTCGCCACAATGTGGCCCTGCGGGCACAAGCAAAGCGTGATCCAAGAATAACACCATATGGCCATAGGCCAGGCGGCAACTGGTTAAAGCAGAGGCTCTAGAGAATAAAATGGTGGGTGTTGTAAATATTTATTTAAAGTTTTTGTGCAGCAATTTTTAAACACAATTTTATTGGAAAAAATATACTTTTTGAATTTTAATGCACAAAAAACACAATATATTGCCCAATTTTTGTTAAATTCTAAAAGATGATGTTATGCCAAGTAAATGATACCAAACATGACATGCTTTAAAATTACACATGCCCATGCAATGGCGACAAACTATGCACATTTTTCATTATCTATAGGCAATGCTTTAAAAGCATCACTTTAGATTTACACAGGAGGTCTAGTGTTAGAATTACTGCCCTCAATGATACCTCACATGCGTGGTGCAATCCCTGTTTACACACCACCACGGGACCGATGCTGTGTTTGTCTTTGTGCCTGGGATGGGGATGTTTAATTTTTTGTTTATTATTATTCTGCTTTTTTCATTTTTACACTGTCCTTTTAATTTTTATCTCTTTTTTGTTAATGT